AACTGCTAGGTTGGCAGGCGCTGGGACCGAGCAACGGGAGTGCACCCCGCCGCGGGGATTCGTACCGCCGACCTGACGATCGGCAAGTCCTAGGCGCTGAGGTTTTACTGTAAAGATTTAAAGATGGTTGGTCTCAAACTTTAGAACAAATAGACTTTCATCTTTGCTCAGGACTTTGCTCAGGAGTGGGGAACCTTTGACCCTCTAGATGCTGCTGAACTATAGCTCCCATCAGTCCCAGCAAGCATGGCCAAAGGCCAGGGAAGATGGGAGTTGTAGTTCAGTAACTTCTTAGATGACTTAGATGTTGATCCGATACGCCCATTCCAGAAGGTATCTTGGTCCCATGTTGTTTTTAGAACCCAGAGTTGGGCTGGTGATGCACCCAACAAGATTACCTATGGACCACTGATGGGCCCCGGAACACTACTTGAAAAGTATTCTTTTAATGACTAAGCAGGAGAGGGAAAAGATCCTTCAATAACTTGCGTGATGCAAAAAAGTGAATTCAGCAGCTCCTACACATAATCTCTGTTCAATCCTGAAGACGACATTGAAGGGAAATGTTAAAATCAAGGCACGGTGCTTCCCTAGCAGTAAGTGGAGGAAATAACCTAGAGCAGAATCCCAACTGTTGGAGTACGGCACAATCCCCCCTTCTTCACAAAAATTGGGGAGGGGGCTATTCCTAGCAATTGCTAGATCCTATATTTCCAGTCCCACAATCACCATGTTTTCAATGGCATTTTTACATTGCATAGCAATGCAAAGCCAGTCACTGACAGCAGGCTGTATTCTTGAAATAAGACCAGTCAGCCATTGTTCTCCTTCACCAGCCTTACTGCGCATTGCCAGTAACTCCACTTAAATCCAGCCATTACTTTGGTGTAAGCCTATTACTGGAAGATGGCAGGAAGAAGAGAGCATCCTTCCTAGTGCTGTAATGAATCAGGTAACCTTCCTGTCTATCCCAGCCTTCACCAACCCAAAAATATTTTGTACTACAGCTCCTGTCATCATAAATGCTGTGCTGTTTGGGGCTGATGGGAGCTGGAGTCCGAAGTGTCTGGAGTCAAAAACATCAACCAGGCTGGTGAAGGCTGATCTAGCCTGAGTGGTTTCTTGCCAACAGATCACACCATACTACTAGCAGAGATATGCTGGATAGTCAAAATAGGCAAAGCCTCACTTGTGGCAGATGCACACTATGCCCGCTTGAGTCGCAGTTAGAGAGCCCTCTTTGGCTCTCAAAACCTTTGAAAGGTTTTACAGGGCGGGTGGTAATTGAAAGATCTTCACACCTGTTCATGAGACATGTTCAAAGATTTGGGCTAAGCCCTTGAGCATCAAAGCACATTTCTCTCCAGCACTGCATGTTACAGATCCTCTAGCTGGCTCCAATAATGCCACAGATGCTTCTATTCCTATACAGATCCACCCTCTGCATACTAACCCTCAGAGTAATCCAATCACACCAGACAATGCCCCGCTGGTCCCCATACCAACAGCATGCCAGTCATTGCAGGCCTTGGAGTCTGGCTAGGCTCTTTCCAGAGCTAATCCACACTTATCAGCAGCAAATGAGAAATGGCAAGCTGAGGACGAAAAGCTGGAGAGAGGGTGTAAAAATAAGATTGACATGGGAGACTCGCTGGGAAAGAGAGTTTAGTCAGCTTCAGCACGTCCTGTGTTACCAAACATTTGAGACGGCGCCAAGGGAAGAAAATCCAAATGCCACTGTTCTGGGATGTAAACATGAAAATCAGCTAACTGACAACTCGATGCCCTTTAATGCCGGGACGAGGCATCTATGGCTTTCCATCATCTCTGATCACTGACCACTCTGGCTGGGACTGATGGGAGGAGGAGACCAACAAAATCAGGAAAGCTACAAGCTCCTGCTTTAATGATATCACACGCAGCCTCAGCTGCTACCCCAACCTGTAAAACTAAGGTGGCTAAGCTATGGCCCTCTAGATGTTATTGGACTCCAACTCCCATCATCCACAGTCATCCTGGGTCAGGCAAACAGCACCTGGGGAGCCACAGATTAGCCACTCCTGCTTTATAGCATTAGTGTCAGTCCTACTAGCAATCTGTGTCCATGTTTACTAAACGAGAATCACGTGAGGTGAATAAAGCAGGCAATTCTGAGCTCATCCACCATTGCTGTCTACCTGCTCCTGATGCTGCGGACACTATGAATTGATATAAGCGAAAGACTGGCACAGCGATGGAGTCGCAGGCAGGTGGGGACTGTGGACACTGAATATGGATTGGGTGCTTCTCCATCCCCAATCACACCTATCATCTAATGCAACATTTTAAAGATAAAGCTAGGTCCAATATTGTACACGCAATTACAAAACATTATTTATTTTGCACATTTATATATATCTCTTCACCCCAGACTGTTACAGCAACCATTAATTATGAAGAGCACATTAATGGCTTGTTGCTCCCACTCCCACTAAGTTTACTGCAATGTGCAAACAGCTTAATTTTAGGGAAGGAGCAAAGTGGGACCCAACTGCACATTCACAGTAGACCATTAAACCATGGTTTACTGTGATATGCAAACACAGTGGTGTCTCGCAAGACGAAATTAATTCGTTCCGCGAGTTTTGTCGTCTTGCGATTTTTTTCGTCTTGCGAAGCACGGTGTCAGAAAAGTTTCGGAAAAGCTTCAAAAATACCAAAGTCTATGAGTTGCTCCTCGAAGTCAAGTCGCAACTGTATTAACGGTGTTAAGAAAAAGGAAACAAACTTGCAAGACGTTTCCGTCTTGCGAAGCAAGCCCATAGGAAAAATCGTCTTGCGAAGCAGCTCAAAAAACAAAAAACCTTTTCGTCTTGCGGGTTTTTTGTCTTGCGAGGCATTCGTCTTGCGAGGTACCACTGCACTACCCTTGGATCTTGGCTGTCTGCAGAAAATACCTGATATATTAGGATTTTGAATGAAAATTTTATTAATGCTACTGCATTAATATCTGGAGAGCAAACACAGCCTATTGAAGCCTATCCTACACAACACTTTCATCAAGTTTAATTTCCCTCCCTAAGCTCAAATACTGCCATTCCAACTTAACAGATCCACCTTGGTCTTGACCTTTCAACATTTCATGTGTATGCCACAGATTCTTACCCCGCAATTGAAGTTGTAATATTCAGATCTCTTTCTCTCTTGTTTGGAATCAATGGAATGAACTGAACAAATAAGATCAATATATTTTGCAAGTGAGAGCTACTGCCACCTGCTGGAAATTTAAAATGCACACTTATAGATACTTTTTTTCAAGTAAACCTGAGTAGGTAGAGAGCAAGTTCACCACAGAGAACGCTTTAAAACAGAAATTTTCACACACAGACTTCGTAATCTTCCTCTAGTCAAGAAAAAACTATAGATCCCCTGAACCCAGGACAAAATACAAAGGGTGAGTCAGCTGGCAAATCTTTCTTGCATCCCTGGCTAGACATAACAGGCAGATTAAAAGAAAAAGAGATGGAGCAAGTCAGGACTCAGGAGCATTTATGATTTCAGTTCCATGAGTTGACAACTCCAAGGAGCAAAACATTTCTAAGAGAGGAATGGAGAATGTACAGGGCTTCTTCCATGGGCTCCTGCTCCGAACTCGCTGTTCACACTTAAGAGGGCCACAGATTTAGATACAATGGTACCTTGAGTTAAGAACTTAATTCGTTCTGGAGATCTGTTCTTAACCTGAAACTGTTCTTAACTTTAGCTAATGGGGCCTCCTGCTGCTGCCGTGCGACACGATTTCTGTTCTCATCCTGAAGCAAAGTTCTTAACCAGAGGTACTATTTCTGGGTTAGCGGAGTCTGTAACCTGAAGCGTATGTAACCTGAAGTACGACTGTAATTCTTTAGCCCTATAAGAATACTATTGTGATAATCCCAGTGGGCTCAAAGCCTAGAAATTACAGGTTGCGCTGCTGCCACCAGAGTTATTGTTTTCATGTTCCATGCAAGACAGAGTGCAGTAAGTGACTGTTTATATTTAAAAAATCTCATAGAACTGGTTTTCTTTTATTATAGGATCTCTAGGGTCATCTAATCTATACAGCAATGTACAGCATAACAGATCAGTCAGGTTCTCCGAACTTCACCCTACATTATGCAATACACACTAGAAGAAATTTCCAATGGGATGAAACACAAGAAGCAACCAACATAGGACATGCTTCAATGTAACTCGAAATGACTGGAGCAACCCATGATTTAATCCTAGCATCAATAAATACAATAGCAAGCAGGGCTGGTCTTGCTATAGTAGACAAAGTGAGATGACGGGTGTTCTCTCCTGTTTCTACTGCTCGAAAATCTGCCATTCATCAACTGTAAATAAAAGAGTGGGCAGCGGAGAGAGAGGCGGGGCAATTGTTGACAGCGGAAGGGGGAAATGCGGAAATATTTATTTATCTTATTGAAATCAAGCTCCTTTGCAGTTTGTGATCGGTTTCATCGTCTCTAGGCATGAAGACCGTATTAGATGTGAAGCTTCCTAGGAAAGAAATCCCATTGATAATCGTGCACAGATTGCCCGTTTAGGCGGCGCTTGCTTTCGGGTCAGCACGTGGGGGCACTGCAGCGCTGCGTTTCCCTGGTGGCAGCGCGCGCCTTTGGAGGGGAGGGTCTCCTCGCCACGCAACCGTGGGAGAAGCACTGCCCAGTCACACACACACCCCCCGCCAGTTCTGCGCTGCTATGTTCCTACCCTGCGCCGTGCACGATTATGCACCGCCTCTGTCCCGCCTCGCGGAGCTTGTGCACAAGAGCAGCTGCCCCGCGCAAGGACTCCGCTCTCAGGGTCTCCAGCTGGCTTTTGTGCGTCAATGCGCTGCCTCCTAGCTTCAGGACGCAGTCCACCGCAGCCATTGCGCCGGCACAACCTCATGCCCACCAGCAGGGCACACTTCCCACCCCTGGAGCCCGCCTTCCTCGGCTACGCCACTTCCTATCTATTGCATTAACACTTTGCTCCTCGAGCAAGCTGAGCTCCCTGGCCAGCTGCAGAACTCGCGGAGCCAAGTGCCGCTGCTCACTCAGAAGGAAGACCTCCCAGTCCACGGAAGGGTGCGTAAGTTTGCGCCCCCTTGGTGTGGTGCGTTGCCTTCAATGCGCCACTTTGACATGTGCCGCTCCCATCATCCCGGACCACTGGCTATGCTGGCCGGTGCTGATGGTTGGTATCCAACAACATCTGGAGGACCACAGGTTCCCTATCGCGTTCGACTAGACTAGAGCCATACAATTGTAGAGTTGGAAGGGACCACGAGTGCCATCTAGTCGATCTCCATGTAATGCAGAAATCTTTTGCCCAGCGTGAGGCTCGAACCAACAACGCTGAAATTAAAGAGTCTCGTGCGCTCTTACCAAACAGGTCTAAGAGGCTGCTTCAAAAGGAGGAGGAACGGGGCTTGATAAAAGAAGAGCAAAGTTTCGATTCCTTTGGGGCGAAAGGAACCCAACACTTTTAAAAATTACCATCGCATTAGACTTTTCTGCAGTGGGTTGTAAATAGCCCGTTTTTCTACTCTCCATATATCCTCGGCTAGACGGCGATTCCTTCAGAGGGGGTGGTGATTCCCGTTACACAAGTGCAGGGAGCTCTGTACATGTTCAAAGGCACTGTTTCCTTAGGCTGCGGAAAATTATGGAACTGAATTATGGAACTGTGTTAGCGTAGGCTACTTAATCTCTTTGTGCTGTGACTCTCTTTCCTTCTTCTGCCCTCCTGTTTTCCCCTTCAGTCGAAACCTAGACTATAAATTGCCAGGACCTGGGCTTTTTTGGGTGGGTGCTAAAACTACTCTGTCAATTGCCTTGCGTATTGATACTGTGTCGTTGTTGTTAACAGCAACTGAGGCGGAGTAGACTGACATGGTTTTCCAAAACTGCAGGGTCAATCTGCAATCTGCAAAGTTGAAACAGGAGCCAGCCTGACCACTTTTTCCTGCCTTTCGAATTCGTAGGCAAATGCGTACAAACCTGCAGTCGCCTTGCGTGTATGTCAGCTGTCGAATCTTTTAATCCACAAGAGCGCCTCTTTTCTTCTTTTCTTTTTCTTGTGAATCCAAGGGTAGGAAATTATGAACGATCCCTCAACGCGTCCTCTGGGACAAGGCTTTTGGTTGGTTGCGAGCAGTGTCTATTTTGATGATGTCAGCAGGGGAAAAAAAATACCAGTGGAGATTAGCGTGGATTCTTCTGCTTCTAGGAGCTGCTGCAGCTTCGGTGGGTATTATATTGCATAGAGAATACCGGTAATTCCTCGCCCCAGTTATGGGGGGCAAGCGGGATGGGGGGAGAGCTTCGTGGCTTCGTTTGCATCCTCCAGTCGCTAAATTTGGGGGCCGCCAAATTTCTGCAAACTGGTCGGTTTTCTCTATGCTGAGAGTGAATGTGCGGACATGCTCAATGAAGGGGTTTTAAATGCCGGAGAGAATATTATCTGCACGCAGGATGCTGCCGATTGATCGCTTTTCATTGCATTCCTTCGGGAGGGCATAAGGGAATATATCCCTGCATAGTCATACGTTTCCTTTTGTTTGACCTCCGCACCAGAGGTAAACGATGTCTGAAGGTGGAGGTTCTATTCAGCTGTCATCTGCAATAGCCCTTGACGGCACAATCCTCTGTGAAGCTTCTCCCCCCCCCCTTTTTTTTAAGCCACCTGAGTCAGTGGTAGCGATCATCACATACTGTACTGATGAATTTCCCATGGGAATTACAAGCAGGGTCCAATTCAGGACAATGAGAATCTTAATCCGAGGGTCATGGGTTCGAACCCCATTTTGGCAAAAGATTCCCTGCATTGCAGAGGTTGGACTAGATTATCCTCATGGTCTCTTCCGACGCTACAGTTCTGTGATTCTATGCTTCAATGTGATATGAATGAATCTTGGCCTTACACAGACCTTTCCCTAAACCAGTTTAAATAGTGGAAATCTGGTTTGTAACAAACCCATTTGCCATGGAATATACTAAACCAGCATCCTGTCATTTACATTTGCCCTGCAAACTGGGTTCCTAGAAGCCTAGGACTCATCTCAACCATGGTTTGGCATTACAGGTAAAGAACTGCCCCAGATGACTCATTTGTATACTATCATGAGTGGCATAAGAATTCCTCACTTTTTACATTCATAGTTTCATATACAGTAAGCCTGCAGGTTATGCAATTATTATTTTTTTTACAAAATTGTGCACATTCAGCTTTACATGCATGGCAAAACAAAACCAAAATATAATTTAAAAGGGGTGTGCAAATGTTCTGGGGAAAATGACTTTGGCAATCCCACCCGCCATTGAATACAGTATGTTTTGACTATATGCAATTTTGGTTTTACGCCTGATCTCCAGAACGTAACCCCCACATAAGTTGTGGGCTTGCTGTACTTAAATTTTTTTTACTTAAGATTGTTTTTTGCTAAACAAATGAGCTCCATATACTTTAATCCACACTTTACCAACCTTGTGCCCTCCAAATGTTTTGAACTACGACTCCCATTGCACAATAAATACAAGGAAAACAATATAAATCAGCAAAACAATATGAATGAGCAAAGTCACAAAATGGATGTGTGTTTGTGAATTGCATTCGTGCTTTCACTGTAGATGCTCCCAGGCTGTCCACCTGTCATTTTGATGTCAGGTTAACTGTCATTTCCCTCCCCTGCCTGTAGCTGCCCCAGTCTCTCACCTGGGAGCAACCCCAAGTTGACTTTCCTATTGCTGCGTTTTATGCTACTTTGTGTTTATAGGCCTGGTCCCCACATATGTACCTAGTCTGAGGTGGTTGGAGCCAAAATATAAGGAGGAGGCATCTCTATGGTCCATGGTACACTTAAGCAGAAAAGCAGGGACAAAGGAAGAGGCCTTGTACTGAATCAAACCACTGGTCCATCTTGCCCAGTACTGTCTACACTGACAGGCAGTGTCTCTCTAGGGTTCGAGGAAGGGGACTCTCCCATCTCTGACATTCTACCTTCTGGCACTCTGTGTCAATGAGACGCAGCCTCTTCCAGGAGTTACATGTGGAACTTCAGAAAGTGTTTGCTGACTTAACTTCTTCTTTTTTGTTTCAGGTTCCTGCAATGCTTATGTGGCATTTCTGAGAAAATCATGAAATTTGTGTTACTTGCAGCTGTTGTCTGGTGTATTGTAATACCACCATCAGAGACCAGCAAGGTAAAGGGGGTGGAAGTGGTGAAAGCACTCAATGCATGTGAGAAATGAAAGAGACATTGCATAGGGAATTAATTGCACAGCATTCCAGGCTAAGTTGAGAGTCCCATTGGCTTTGGTAGTAGAGACTTTGCATGTGCATCTCTTACACTGAGTTCATCCACCCAAACATGTTGTCTTACACATTTTGTATGTTCAAGGTTAGGTTAACTTGATTGCTGATAATATTATATGTGAGGCTGAGGTTCAGGACATTTTTAAATAAAGCTCAACAGTACTTTTGAACAAACATCCATATAACCATTCAGTAAGACTTGGATTTTTGTTGGCTGCTGTCTAGTTGTATTTTGGTTAACTAAGTTAACTAAGAACCGCTTTCTATCAGAATTTTTGACACATGGATTGCAAGCCATTTCCATCCGGCTATTAGGAATTTTTTACAAAAAGATAATTTGCATTAATTATTATTATTATTGGATTTGAATACTGCTTATATTCCATAATGGCTTCTAAGTGGTTTATAAGCGTGAAATCAGTTATAAAATTCATACATAATTAAAATGCACAATAAAACTATTCCATCAAAATATTAAAACACTCATATTTAAAATATACAATAAAACAAACCCATTAAATGGTATGTGAATTAAACAGTGAACTATAAAAAGCAATTAAAACAATTGAATTAAGAAGTTCAAATTCAGGGGAATGAAACAGGCATGTCTTCAAGATCCAGCAGGATATCAATGCAGATGGATATTGCAGTTATCAGATGGGAGAGAAAGTGAAGTCAAGTGTTGACCCTGCTGAAAATCTCATTCTCTGCTGGGGCAGGATGTTTTGCCAAATACTCTTTATTCCATTCCTATCTTACTTTGCTTCTTTAGAGCTTTGAGGACATCCGCTGCAAGTGTGTCTGCCCCCCATATAGGAATATCAGTGGACAGATTTACAAGAAGAATGTGTCACAGAAGGACTGGTGAGTCAATCTTCAACTGAAGTTTTACATCCTCTAATGGCATAGCAAATGACCTTTGCAAAAACTGTACAACATAGTTCCTCAGGGGACTGTTCCAGAAGACTCTCTGGCTCAAAACCAGCTACTGCAAAGAGTCAGGATTTGTAAATAGGTGCTTCTTACTGACAATTAGGGCTTCCCAAAGTGCTACAATTCCCCGTTCATATTTTGAAGTCATATGGTAGGGAAGCAATGAAGAAATGGCTGTTATCTTACATCTGCAACCATTTTCCAATCCCTTCCTGATGTTGAATGGGAAGGTTTGTTGGAAGCAGTGAGATCAAGTTCAGAATGTCCTGTGCCACCTCAGAAAACACTCCCTTGGTTCCCCACTGCCGTGAACAGGGATCCCCAATGGCCACCTGCAGCACTGTCCAAGTCTAGCTGAACTCCCATCGCCTTACCCCATAGGCACCCACTTTGATCTGCAGCACTAGGATCCCATGACGTTTGCTGTTCATTTGTGAGAAATCAGTCTTTTACTGTGGCAATCAGTCTATTCTCTGGAACTCCCCCGCCTATTCATACTAGGACAGTGCCTTTATAGTATTCCGCCCCCGCATGCCTGCAAAAACTTTTGTTGTTGTTGTTTTGGCAACCCTACCAGACATGTAATTTTATTATGTATATTTGTTTTTAGAACTGATCATTTTACCGGTATTTTGCTCATTGTATTAGGTTGCATCCAACCAAGTTGTATTCCGAGTAGATCCACTGGAATTACCTAAATTACTCCGGTCCATCCATTTCAGTGGATCTGTTTTGCGCATGACTAGCACAGGATGCGACCCATTAACATTTACTTCCTTTTAAAGTCTGTCAATTTTATCAGTATTTTCTAAGGAATATGTTACGTTACTTTATGCTTTAGAGCTGGTTGGCCTTTCATTCGACGACATATATAGTGCTTGCTAAATAAAATAAATAATAAACTAACCCTGATAATCGGCTGGGGCTGATGGAAACGGAAGAGTCACAGGTGACAGCCATTCCTGCTGCGTTCTGTGACAGAGGAGAGCTTCGATTCCCGCTGTTGATGCTCATCTCTTTCCATCTTTGCAGCAACTGCCTGCATGTGGTGGAGCCGATGCCTGTGCCGGGGAACGATGTCGAGGCATATTGCCTGCTGTGTGAGTGCAAGTATGAAGAGCGAAGCACCACCACCATCAAGGTACAAGACAAGACGAGCCTTTGCACTGCCTCTCCTTCTCATTGTATAGAACAGAATTGTGGCCATTGGCAATTTTGGATGAGTAGGGTTGAGGGTCTACCCATGAAGGACATAGCGCTAATGGTTGTCCCAACCATTTCTGAATTTCTGAAGGTCTAGTCCACTGGTTCTCATGTAGCTTTTACAAACATAAGAGGATCCCAGCTGGATGAGGCCAAGGGCCCCTTTTTCTCCAGCACTTGGATCAGGCAGCAGCCCACCAGATGCCCATGGGAAGCCTGTAAGCAGGATCTGACCTGAGTGCAACTCCCCACCTGTGATTCCCAGCAATTGGTATTTCGAGTTACACAGCCTCTGACAGTGGAAGTAGAACATAACCATCATGGCTGCATTGCTAGCCTTATCCTCCACAAATATATCTTATCCTCTTTTGAAGCTGTCCAAGTTGGTGGCCATCACTGGCTCTGGTGGCAGCAAATTCCATAGTTTAACTGAAAGGTGTGACTCAATACTTGCCCCCCAATCTTCCGGCATCATTGCATGTCCCTGAGTTCTTGTATTATGAGAGAGAGAGAAAACTCTATCCACTTTCTCCACAACTTGAATAATTTATAGCTGGAGGTACATGCATGGGTTTATAGCAGGAGTAGTGTATACTGCACAAGTCCATGGAGCAAGCTTGTGCCTCAGTGGCCACATCAAAAGTCCCTGGTTCTCTGGAAATTGTAGCTTAGATGAACCCTGCTGACATTAAGGGGGTTGCAGCGAAATGAGCTGGGGTTTTTTTCCACTAGTTGGGAATTTGCTTCTGGATTGTTTAATTCCTGCTAACTTGAAGGTTAACTTGGAACTGTCACATCATGCTTCCTAAATCATTCTGAAGAGACGTATGTTGCAATATAGGCTGTGTGACTTGCAGAACCTGATGGCTTAAGAATTGCTTCATCCAATTTCCTTGCTGACCTTTGGCAGGTCATCATCATCATTTACCTCTCAGTGATTGGAGCCCTTCTGCTCTACATGGTCTTTCTGATGGTGGTCGACCCCCTCATCCGCAAGCCTGATGCCTACACCCAGCCCCTGCACAATGAAGAGGAAAGCGAGGTGAGCATGATGCCTTCCTCTTGATAATGAGCAGACTGGGGCGAAAGTAGACTGCATGAGGCATGAGTCCTAGCCTCAGCATCTGCTAACTTAATCAGCATTCTAAAGGGGCAACAGAATAGAGGGGAATATTCCATCACATTTATGACTCACCCGCCAAAGGACAGACAATATTCTATCCAATATTCTATCCTTTGAAAACCCCAAAGATAAAAGTGCTTTGCTCCCTGACACTCAGAGGCCTTCTTCACCTTACTGTGGCTTGCAATCCTTTCCCAGACATTGGCCAGACCTTTTTAACTTCCATGATGTGCCAGATAAATGTTTCACATGATGAATGCTGAAACTTGCAGGCACACGGTCCGTACAATCCCAACTGTGCAAAACTGGAAAAGTTTCATTGAAATTTTATCTTTCTGGCCGCAGAGATCCTCCAGGTGGTTTTTCTCCATGAAGGCTTGCCAAAAGGTGTCAACACTTAAAAGGAATCCAATCAGACTTCCCCAATTTTGGGCCTCCAGATGTTATTGGACTACAAGCCCTGGTGGCCCCAGCTAGCACAGTCAGCAATGATGGGAGCTGTAGTCCAACAACATCTGGGGACTGGAAGTTGGGGGAGCCTGCTTCAGGTTTCCTTTGATGTGTCATTGTCGAGAGCATTGTTGCTATGTTTCTGAAATGCATTGCCCCTTTGTAGATCCTTGAGGCGTTTATTCTTTCGGTGTTGCAGGACGCCCATTCACTGGCAGCAATACGCCCTTCAGCTGCCACCCGGGCAAACACAGTGTTGGAGAGAGTGGAGGGAGCCCAGCAACGGTGGAAGCGTCAGGTGCAGGAGCAGCGGAAGACGGTGTTTGATCGACACAAGATGCTCAGCTAGATCTCATAGAAGGTTTGCAGTCCGGGAGGGAGCAGCAGCTGCTGGTTAGCTGGGCAGGTAATTTCTGTTAGCCAGTGCAAACCCCGAGACCTGTAGCTTAAAACTTGTTGCACTTGCCCTTTCTAGTTTGTTTTGCTTGTTTTCCCCCCTTAGAAAGCAAGCTCAGTTGAAAGAAGCCACTGGCTGTGCATCCCAATCTTATTCTAGCCCATAAGGTGGAGGCCCTTTGTCTTCCCCATCATCTGAAACAGGTGTGTACTTATGACCCCCAAGATGCTGCTTGGCTATGTCTCCCATCATCCTTGGGCATTGGCCATGTTGGTTGGAGCTGATGGGAGTTGGAGTCCAGTGATATCTGGACAGCCACAGACAGGTTCTCCACCCTCGGTCTCAAACTATATTTCACTCACCAAGCAGTGAGCGTTGCCCCTTAATTTAAATGTGAGCAGTGGGAAGTCCAAAAACCAACAACCTTTAGCTTCTTTGTATCTTTCCAGAAGCTAAAAATAGCAGCAAATTGTGCTGTGTCTTGTAATCTGCCAGGCAAACGTCTAGTTTTAACTGTGAAGAACGGGGCATTATTTTGTTGTTGAACTTTCACTATTGCAAAAGAGGAAGAAGCAGCTGACAGAGAAGTATTCTAATCTTTCAAAGAGAAGGCTCTGGCTCTGATCATTAAAAGATATCATAAATGAAATGCATTTAGCTATTACATCATGAACTCTCAGAAGCACTTCCTTTGGAGACTTTAAGACTGCTTAACTTTGCACCAAGCAAGTAATAAAAGTTTTGTTATGTCAACAGTAACAAACTTTGTTTAAAGTAGGGTTTGTTACAATAAACCATTGTTAAAGATAACCCAAGTTCCTGGTCTGGAAGTCAAAAGAAACTGTGGTTAATCTAAACCAGGAAGGACATGCGTGTAATCTCTTCACTTGATCCAGAGGTACAAGATACAGGTAACTTGCAACTTACGTGCATTTAACTTGTGCACATTCAGCTTTATGAACTTGGCAAATTTTGAATTAAAAAAATGAAAAGGGGGCACACATCTGGGGGTGAGGGGGGGGAGAGACTTTGGCAATGCCACCTGCCATTGCAGCCAACGTGTTTTGACTATACACAATTTTGGCTTTATGTGCTATTCCCAAAACTCCTGCATAAGTTGAGAGTTGTCTGTATTGCTTGTTGGAGTAGGTCTAAGATTTTAAACTGGGTTCCATGGAAGCATGAGTGGGGAGAATAAATACTTACTCACACATTTCTAGTTGCAAGCACAGAGTTTTCCACACGTTAATGAGCTTGATTTGATGTATACCCTCCAAGAATTGTGCATCTGCATACAAAATGGACCCTGCTTTTATTTATCTGTTTATTTATTATATACTGTGATGAAAAAGTCCCCTTCAGGTAGTTCAAAAACATAACAATCTTCCTAATAAAACAATACCTTTGCATTTGCTTTCATGTGTGTCTTGCGCAAGGAGAATTGTCATTCGGCTTGTGGGAATCTGTTTCAGTACATAGAAACTGGACTCTCGATCCCAGTGCAAAATGTTGCTTATAAAAATATTGGGTGTAGTCAGTCAAGTTTTACTCTGAGTACACCCACTGAAATTAATAGGCCTGCCTTAGTCATGTCCATTAATTTCATTGGGTCTACTCTAAGTAAGATTTAGTTGAATACTACCCTTTGGATTTCAATTTGGCTTTACAAGGTGCCAATTCAAATATGGGCAGTTGTTCATAGTGAAGTTCCAGTCCTCAGTAATCAGTTTTGTTTTACTTTACTTGGTCCACAGTTGACAGCCTAGCTATGTGCAATATGGCTGCTGCATATGTAATATCACATATACCAGCCTTCCCCAAATTGGTGGTCTCCCATTGTTTTGGACTTCAGTTCACATGAGCTGGTAGTACAAGCGTCTGGAGGCTGTGGGAGACAGAGATACGCTTCCGTTTTCATGGTACCCACAGCAGGTTGTCCTGTCAGCATGGTACCACTGGTGAAGGGGGCGTAGTTTAAACCTAGTGCATTCCTGTAATGTCATGTAGTAATAATGGTTTCTCCAATGAAAAGGTCAACAGCAAAAGGTGTTTAAGGATGACCTTTTTCCTGCTGCATGAAAGAGATGTTTATGTATTAAATGACCTGTTCTGTTCATTCCCCTTATGGAATCTCTGGCAGATTGGGAAATCCTTGTTACTATGCAGCATATTTTCATTAAACAAAGAAACTGGTGTGTAACCTGTGTCTTTTGTAATCCATGTACCCATTGCACTTCTGCTAAGCAATAGGATCTGCCTATAGTCTATCCTCTTGTATTTTCTCAATGATGGCCTTTCTGCAGCTATACTGCACTGATCTGACTCAAGTGCTCCCTCGTGTGGATTCTGTTCAGATCTCTTGAAATCTTGAAGGCCTTTTGTCATTTTAGGCCAGCCCATTTTCTCAGACAAATATTTAACAAATCAAAATGATATTTAAAGAGCACCCCTTTATTTTTTGTACCTGAAAATGCAACACTTTCCCAATAGAAAATGTGGCAGTGCAAAGTTATTTTAGCTGCTGATTCTGTGAGTCCTCTGAGTAATTAAACTGAGAAACAATGCATTCAAAGAATATATGAGCTTTGATCCTACGCATGGCTACATCAAAGAAGATCCCTCAGACTTCCATTGCACTTACTGTCACATAAGATTTCAGAGCATTGTGGCTGCCAAATCTGACCCATTTTAACAGACATTCTAAGACTGTACTCTCCAAGCCTCCAAGGTGGACACAAGGCTTCAGGAAGGGGCCAATTCATTTTGAGCCACTCCTGAGACACCTTGCTTCACCTTGGACATAGCCCAAATCACTTCAGTTCTGGATCTGGTCTTCATCCAAAGCAAAATCACACACCTAGTTTCAATCTTCAGATTCATTTAGCTTCTATTCGAACCATGGCTTTCAGCATAGCAGCACCAGTATTTTGGAACGCTGTTCCTATTAAAACCAGACAGGTACCTTCAATTCTGATGTTTCATCTGCTGAAAACATTTTTGTTTTGTCAAGCCTTTTTATAGCATTCATTGCTGTTAATTTGGGCTTGCGTTTTAGATTTTTATTGCCTTTTTGCTGTGCACTGCCACAATATTTTTCTTGTGAGTTGGTGGTTTGTAAATACCCAGATAAATAAACCTCCTCCCTCTGTTTCACAATAAGCCTTTATTGTCCTAATGGGTGGTAAAGATGTTAATCAGACATCTTGAGATGCAGAAGGGATAAAGGGGAATGGAAATTGCAAGAGAGTAGGGAGATCCTAACAGGCTCACCTCTCCTTCGGAAAAGTTTCCAGATGTTGCTCTTCAAGCGTGTCTTGGCATGTGCTCCTAAAGTTTCTCTTTGAGGCATAGCTGGATTCTGTCCTAATGTTTCACACAACCCTAGTAATTCAGTCCTTAAGCTCCTAAAAAAAGTTATGTAGAAAGACCTTTTTGCACACACCCGAAAATTACCACAGATGTTTATAAGACAAGCTTGGCATTGTTTTGTTTAAAATGATTTTTTAAAAGCTTGAGAAATAAAATTCCCATGTGGATGCCAGATATCTATTGCATTTCGATTAGATAATGGCTGCATCAATTTTAAGATGCTTTCATTGTGAGGTCCTAGGCACACACACATAAACACACAGAGAGAAATGGAATGGTTCTCTGCAGTGGTAAACTTCAACCATCTGCCACCACACTGGAAGAGAAAGTGACAATCTTGTGAGAAGGACTCATACACTGTAACTAAATGGTATAGGGCAACAGGCAGTAGTGAATGTCATGGTGGCACTTACTTGGTCTCCTGACAGCTGAGTCACCGCTGCTTTCCAAGAAGGAGGGAGAGGGCCAAAGTGGCAGGGAGCTTAGCGTGGTGCAAACACACCGCCAGGAATACCATATTGGCTCTGTCGCTGTGTTTGCACTGTGCTGGCCGCCCCACCACCTTGCCCCTCTCCTTCCCAGTACGCTGCAGTGACTCAGCTGTCAGGAGGTCAGGTGAACACTGCCACCCCACCGCACCATCTGCTATTGACTATAGGGGAGCATCTGTCAGGCACCTGTGTGTAACTGTGAACAAAGGTGTCCTGAGGCTGCCTCTGGAGAGAGAGGCCATGCTGAAATTCTTCAAGAAGTGGAGAGAGATTTTGCCGGCAGAAGATCCCAGCTTCGATCCCCAGCATCTCCAGGCAGGACTGAGAGAGACTCTTGCCTGAAACCCTGGACAGCCACTGCCAGTCTTTGTTGGCAGCACTGAGCTGCATGGACCAATGGCTTGAATTGGTATAAGGCAGCTTCCTATGGTTGGGGAAATGGGGGAGGGGGTGGGAGTGTGGGTAGCCATTTTTGAAAACATTTTTTATTTTGTTGGTCTATATTTGGCATTGTTTTGTTTTATCTTAATAATGCTTTCATATTCCACCCTTCAGGGGTAAAAGCACCACTCAGGGTAGCTTACTACATTCAAAAAACGAATTTAAAAAAACACACCAGTAATATATACAACAATAACCAACCATGGAGACAGGAACAGCAGCTAAGTCCAAGCATGAAAGCATTTATCTGCCACATATAACAGAAACCTATCAGAAACCGGTCAGACTGGGAGGAGGAGAACAGTGTTACCTCTTCAGCCTGATACCTCCTCCTCCCAGTCTTCTCCCTCGGACCACTTATTGTAATCCCACCACCAGTCCCCTGGCTCTGAGGCATCTTCCTCTGGGAGTTCCCCAGCTGGTTCTTTCCACCATTCCTTTGTGTCTAACCAGTCCATGACAGAAGGGCTTTATAGGTCATAGCCATCCCTTAAAATGTGCCTAGAAACAGACTGGTAGCTACTGGAGCTGTCCCTTCACGTGGCTTGATTTGTGTGAGTTTGTGTCCTTCATGCACCCTGTCTTATGGCCATTGCTAATGATGGGATCCTGAACCTGAGGCTCCAATACTTTGGCCACCTCATGAGAAGAGAAGACTCCCTGGAAAAGACCCTGATGTTGGGAAAGATGGAGAGCACAAGGAGAAGG